GCTAAGTATTTATACTTAGTCAAACGTTTTATGATGGAAAAATACAGAAGATAAATATCAAAAGTGGAGTCCGCCTTTTAATTTTCATTTAAACCACAGTCAAATTGCCAAAGTCGCAAAACCTATAAAAGGAAATTAAATTGTAGACATCCAGGTGGCTAAATTGTCTAGGCCTTTAAATATAGGAAGATATGGTTTCACGGTAATGGGCAATTGCGTTATCTAATGTAGTGATAATGATAAAATTAATTTGAGGCAAAATAAGTCTATGAAGTCGAAAATTCGAGATTATTTATAATAGCTATTTCTTTATCAGTACTTGCAATCAAGTTTAAAATTTCGAATCCACGTTGTATGGCTACTAGACAGAAAGGCAGCTGATATGGTATTCAATAAATTTACCATTAGGACAAATCCCCTAATCGCAATGATGGATATGGGGAGGTATGTCTCATGGCAGGTAAAAGAGTAATCTCGACAAATAACATAAAAACAAACCTATGAGAGTGTATACAGCTCTCTGCTAATCGAAACCAGAGTCTAGGGTTGCTAGGATAGAATTGAGTCAATTCAAGAAAAGCATTGAAGGCAGCAGAAGCCCGACCACTTGATAAGAGTTGGATTCCAGCGTTATAAAGTAGCGCATGATGTTGACTCAAACTAAAGGCGCGCAGGGGAACCTATAAATCATAAAATTGGTAAATAACGATATAAAATACATAACAAACCAGAATGATGGATTAAGTACAAAGTTAATCCCAGAAAATCCAAAAGGTCAATATATATCATTAGTGAAAGATATAATCAAATACCTGGATCATAATATCTAATAAGTCACCTAAAACAATGTGAGAACTGATAGTTGAATTTTTCCCGTGATTATATGAGCTGACCTCATGATGCCACTGAACTTCACTTAGTCTTGCCTCCCAAAAGGTTCCCTTATCCTGGGTAAACTTCTGTTTCTAAAGGGCATAGGGATTAACTAATGGGGGATGAGCATTGTGCCTACGTTACCATGCTGCTACATAGACACAGGCGCCAGTGAGTCAAAGGGCAGATTAGATATTCAAGACAAAACAGGCTATAGTCAAATTACTTATGAAGCAAAGATGTGCTTGCTATTGCAACCTATTATATTACTTATTTTCGATGTGAGTACGTTTGATATTATCATTAAGCCTTGAATGAAAAGTTGATACGCCTGTTTTCCTGTGGACTGTGTCAAAAATAACGACCGTTACTAATAAAACGAAACGTGCAGGTGATAATGAGGGAAAAGACAACACTTATCACTCGAATGCCGACACAATATGAGAAGGTTACAAGACTGAATTGCTCGTGAATTTATCGCATAACGTGCGGCAACTATGACAAAGTACACTGGTGAAAGAGAAAGAAAAGTCAGCACACGAATGAAGAAATATCAAAGACTATTAAGAAACATGGGTACGAAAAGATCCAAAATTGCAAAACATATTGCACGGTCGGGACATAGAATCGATATTGTCCAACGCACATGCCAAACAGTGGTAAGGCAGTCTGCATTGTCAGGTTATTTTTCAATCTAGCTTAGTAATCCAGACTTTGAAAGCCTGCTCAGCGAGGCGGGAGCATACATGTTATCAGAGGCAGCGTAAAACATAACGCTTCGAGTAGCACGGATATAATGACAGTGATCGAGTGAAATCACTTAACAAGAGAGATAGAGGACGAAAAATAGAAATTCTGATAGGATCCGGGTTGTATGCCTGGACCAATACTTAAAGCACATTGAGATGAGGGAACCAGTAATGAGTGTAAATAGGCCTCACTAAATCGCTCAAAAGGGCACGCCTGAAGCAGGTCAAAACGGGCGAGCTAGAAATTGTGATATTGAAGGGGATGATAAAAGCGGAATGCCACAGAACAAGAGAAATACCTCAACCGTTCAGCAGACAGCTGGCTAACGGATCGGCTTGAACTGTCTCTAATAGGTTGCAGTGGTGCTAAAAATGCACGGCTCACCGAAGATGCCGGCAAAACGACTAGGAATGTGTCAAATCCAGTCCGACATTGGAAATTAGCATTACTATGGATTTCGGTAAAGAAGCGATCTCTTATGTCCTTTTGACAATATCACCAAGTTGCGAAAACGAGGTCAGAATATTGCCCTTAATGAAGTTGAATTTAAACGAAGTGAGATAAGATGAGTAAACTTAAAACAGATTGAATTATAGGTTAGAATAAGATAAAATTGATGAGGGGTAAACAGACAGACACTAACGTGGTGCAAAAGGTTTTGTGTACTCATGTCGTGATGAAGATAGTTGTAAGTCGTCTTCCAGTGACTGCAACAGCCGATAAATCTTCCTGTTTTTTGATTATTGCTTCCAGACAATGCTTCATTGATAACTTTGTCAGTCTCACACATAGCCCTGCGCAAGTGCAACCCACTGAGGCTAATTTGACTAGCACGGTGATGCAGTAATGCAAGGTTATTCCAAATCATGCTTGTTTCACATTGACCAGCTTCAATAGGTGAGCGACAGGAAGGAGGAATAGCGCCCAAGAGATGCGATGCCTCACGAAGATCATTCTAAAAAAGACGCTTGCTATTCAGATAATTTCAGACAGATACTGGGTCAAAGTATATGAGATATATTCATCGTATAGCGTTTAAGGCGATTAGTGGACTAGTAGTCTCGAAAAACTAAAACCTAAAGAAAGACTTAATTATATCCTTTTTTTAAAAAGGTTACAGCTTTATTTACTGCTGTTAGTCTATAAATACATTTTTAAATGAATCTAAAAATTAAATACCTTAAGGTATGCTAATTGGGCATTAAGAAAATGCAAGCAGTTTCCCGTGTCCCAATTAGCCTGGGACTTAGATTTAGCGTCCAAAAATCTTTCTTTATCAGATAGTTCATCCTTGGTCTGCCCATTTAGACAGCTAGTAGAGCTTTCTTCAGAAGCAGAAAATTCAGATTTTTCAGTTAGTATTTCGTTCACAGAATCAGGATTGCTGCCAGAAAAGGTATTTAATTCTATTGACTTAGTTGACTTTGGCAGATTTAAAATGGCTAATTCCCATTCGGCTTGAATTAACCGACCTGTCAGTAGACATGAACGAATTTTTAGGAGTTTGAGCGGAAGGCGTATTTCACATGTTACTGAGATAATTGAACTGCTGGACGGTAAGGTATGTGCTCCAGTTTTTTTCTTAACTTGTTCAAAAGATGGAAGTAGCTCATCTGCAAGAGAATTAACAATAAATAATTGTGTATATACAGTTAGGGTACCCCAAACTTGGTATTCTAACTTACTGCATATTTGGTAGACAAGTTCAGCTTTATGCAGCCTTAAAAGTACTTCCAACCAAAGAAGTATAACTCTCCGACAGAGAACCAGATCTGAGCATGGCTTAAAATTAAGAAGTTCAGAAAATTTTGAAAACTCCTTTTTAGGATCTTCTCTACAATCGGTTGGATAAACATTCAGTATGTTTGCCAAAAGAGCCTCTGAACATTTGACCTGACGTTGGTAAAACAGTAAGAGAGCGTAGTTATAGTGCAAAGTTATGGCAATAGTGGTTCGAGAGCTCGTAACAAATGTAGCGTTGGACTGCTCGCGAATTTCTCCTGCTGCAGACTTCGTGTCAAGGAAGGCTGACGAGGTTTGTTCAAGCGACCCTTCATCGGGAAGGGGAGCGCAAAAAATTTTAGCAGCTGATTGAATCTGACGCGCATATTCGTCTGAACGGGTCAGTGAGAACTTGTGGAGATATTCAACTAAGGCTTTATTGGCAATTATCTATGATCATTTGTGTGAATGTCTAGGAATATCTACCTTAGGGTCATCTAATCGTGTGCTAGAAAGTCTTTTCATCAGATCGAAACATTTTTCATATTGTTGATCGATGAAAAAAGATGTAGCTTTTATAGCAAATAATCTCTCATCTGCAGAATATTTCAACGCGGACGAGCCTAAAGCTTCTTCGCGAGCCTCCTTCGTATCGCTCATCATATGAATGTAGTACAGAATAGCCTTAAGAGTAACTAAATAAATCAATAAAAATAGATTAATAAAGTTTTATTTTTCTATTTGTATACACTTTTTTTTAATTAGCTTTTTGTTATTGTTTTAATTGGCGGAGGCTATTTTGACCTGGACGTGGCTTGCCCTCTTCTCCCCACCCTGTTGCTTCCTCCTGCTCCTTCCAGTACTCCGTCCCCTTTTCAGTTATGTCCTTGTCAAGCCAACTAAAAAAGATAGCCACTCCGCTCTCTCTCTCCTATCAACCCGATTCAGTTCGTCGAGCCTCTCTAATTTATCAAGATCCTTCAAAGATTGATTGTCTCACGTGCTACCGAGATTGTAAGTTCAATTAAATCTTATTTAAGGTCTAATTGGTTATGAAAAACTCTGCATAAGGGATGATTCGTTTAAAAAATTCAAGGGTTCTTTATTTTCTCAAACCACTTGCAAGCTTGAGCTATGCAACTTGAGTGCAAATGAACTTAATCTGATCAAGGCTGAGGTATCAAGACTTTTAGTGTATATTTCTCCTCACCTTCGGCTGAATGAATCTATATTTGTCCTAGAATGGT